GTTTTGCGGGAACTCGCTGCCAATTGGGTTCTATATCGCTTACACTGTCACGGCGTTACTCTAGGCAATGGCTCTTACACGACTTCGTTCTGACACCGCAACCTGTGCACCTTCCAAGTCATGTCGCGCACAAGCCCCTTGCAACCATTTCCTCGCTACTTTTTTCCGCTTACATGTCGCTTTTGCAGAAGCTCTGTGTTGCACACGCGCTCTCTGCAAGTACTGTTCGCTGCCCACTCGCTTTTACACCAGCGCAGCTTTTGTTTTTGGCCAGTTGCTCTCCACTTACATGGCTCTTACACTACTTCGTTTTGACGCCGCACCTCATTGACACAAACATCTCCAGCCAGCGTGCATGTTCCAAGTCATGTCGCGCACAAACCCCTTGTTTTCACGCACTTTGATATCGTACACTCTGTTAGCTAACCTTTGCATAACCTGCACCCAAAAAAACACAATAGCTACACACAGCTACACACGCCCGGGCCATGGCGACCAGCCGTGCGGGCTCGAGCTGATGGCCGGCGGCATGCCGAAGGCTGTAAATAATATGTCTCGAATTCTTCAAGTTCGCGGATACTGGAGTGCGGCCGTCGCTCTACCACAGGGCACCTGAAGGCGATTCGATGTCCGTCTGTGCAACGCTTGTCATTGCTGCAACCTTTTTCAAACGTATGTCGGTACTACAGGTAACCCCCTTCACATATGCCGACATCTGGACTTTTATGTCCCCTAACCAGCGTGGCCATTTTAAGGCCTTTGTTGATACACTGAATTTCGCACACGCAATCCGTATGAAGATTGATATTCGCAACTCGTGGGGCTGGGGAACTAATGATGAAATGAAAAAATCTGGAAACATGCCAACCTTGCTTTCCCAGCGGATAATATTGACATCGTCTTCAAATTGGCCTCTAAAGACTTAGGTTGTATGCTCCGGTATTCGAAACGCACCTTCCTCGGCTGCTTAAAAGATCGAGCCCAATCAGCTAAAAAACGACTATCCAGACTACAAAAAATGGATCTATCCATCCCGGATGAAGCTTCTAAGATACAGACCTCAGTTTGGCCATTGGCATTTTACGGCGCTGAGAGTCAGGTTATTGGAGAATCTAACTTCCAACAACTTCGACGTTTAGCCACAGATGCCCTGATTGGCAAACAAAAAATTTCCCGGCGGCTCTCTTTTCACGCACATAGTCGTGCAAATTTCAAGATCCAGGATATTGGGTTGCGTGCAAAAAAGGGTTTTCGCCTAGGCGAAATCATGTTTTTTGTTGTCTGATCAAGAATTATCTGAAAATCACTGTCAAAAATGGTGACAATTTTTGACATCGATTTGCTAAAGCACAGAGCTTCGGACCATTTTTTGCGCGCGACCTCTTGCGTCACCTCTGGTTCAACTGTGTGCCCACGTGTGCCCAACTTAAAAGCCAGGTTGCAGTTACCGCAGTTCCAAACGAAAACTGATTTCATGGCAGAGCATGATTCCCGTGCAAAGAGATTGCTGTCGGAACGTGTTGAAACAATAACAAGAGTTACCACAAATTCCCAACGGGAAAAGTCTAGGCAGTCAGAAACAGTCATCGACATGCACGGATGAAAACTATTCGTCCAACAATACTGACAATGTCAGCCATGAGTGAACCATGTGATACTTGACATGTTTAGAGTGATCCAACCCCCCAAATCACCTGAACAGAAAACCATATGATATTGGAAGAAACAAGTGTGGATCGTAACATGTGCTTCCGAAAAGTGAGAGTCACTACCACCTTATATTTAGAGTGATCCCTGGCCAACGTCAGATCGGAGACACAGAAGAGACCAAGCGTAGCGTAAGTGTATATAGAAAGTGCATTCACAAGAACGTTAATAGGCCCCACCCGAACCCAAACCGACTCCCTGGCCAACGTCAGATCAGAGACACAGCAAATACCAAGCGTAGCGTAGATGTAGAAAGTACATTCACAAGACCGTTAATAGGCCCCACCCGAACCCAAACCCAACCCCCTGGCCAACGTAAGATCAAAGAATAGGCCCCAACCAAACCCAAACCACTACTAGCGCGGTTTCAGAGCCGATAGCACAAATATGCATTGTCATATTTAGCTTGCAATACTTAACCGATCGTGTCATGGACCCACTCCTTTATGTGGTGGTTACGGGGATATGCGCCATTCGCCAATTGTTTCATACCAATCCAGGACTTGTGCATGAAATTTGGTCCGAAGTTCTTCTATTCAATACACCCCGAGGTCCATGCAGCGCTCTGGCTGGCTACCTTCGTAAGCTTAATTGGATCCCCTCTGCCGGAGGTCTAATTGATACCCCGTGTGGAAACCAGCTCAATCTCCAAATACAATCAACCGGTGAAATTCGACATATAAGCCGATTGGCCTGGTCCCCCTACGTTCATACTCAAGTCAGTCACCGCAAAGGTATAACGGCAATGCCTGGGGATGCCTATACTCAAATTAAAACTATGAACCAATTGTCTTGCCGAGAACAACAAGTCATAGCCTTGAACATTACAGGGGGTTACCAAACAGCCGCAGTTAAAGCCAATCTGCTGAATGTGAGTACTGTGGACAACCCGATACTCACCACCATCGGTTGTTACATTGTGCAGATTTTGCCCATGTTCGAGCTCAGCATGACCAGACAGTGGCTATCCTAGCTGCGCATCCACACCTAGCATGGTTCCCACTGCCTACTCAGCATCCCCTTCAGGTTGTTTATGACCGACTGAAACTCGTGAGGGCTGGGCCATTCCTTGACACAGAATACCAGCAGAGCAGTACAGTCCATCAAATTTCCACAGAAGGGACCTGTGATCGACCCCAAAACCAAAACTGCTGCAAAGCAGCCTGGGCGGCAGTTAGAAAGGTTAGTACCAACTCTGATGATCCGTCAATTCATGACTTTGAAATTTTGCAGGTCTCTCATGTCAAAGGACAACAAACCATTAATCGTGGCGAATTAGAATCTGTTGTCTGGGTCACCGAATTTTATGCTAACTAGATTCCTCCCCCCCTGGTCGATATTTACACCGACTCGAGTTTTGTGGTTAAAATTATCCGGTCCTTGAGTACTCGTATGCTTGATCCGAAAACCTATCAGTTAGCCCACTATGACTTGGTACGCCGTCTCAGCATCTCCTGGGACCGGACCCAGTGTGTTTTCACATACATAAAGTCCGGTCCCATCGAGAGTATTCTGATGCAGTGGATTTGGATGACTTGCATTCCATTTTGGGGAATACACTAGCAGATGAGACGGCCAAAATCATGAACACACAAGATATTGTCACATTTCGTGAAGCAGCAAATTCGATTCATTTACATAGCAAACGACAAATCTCCGACCTATTAATTGTGCATCATTACCTGTGTGAACTTAATAGCCTTCACTCCGCCCTTAAGATCGAAAAAGAATGAAAAAGAAAGAGAAGCTGATGAAGGACTTCAGGCGCAAGGGTTAGATGCCATATCCCACACGGAACAAGTCTTGTGTAATTGGCAAATTGAAGGCCCCATGTGGAATGTCCAAGACGAGCCCCATCCAATAATTCTTCAAGCCTGTCCAGCAGGAGTTAAAATTGCCCGATGTGTGTGGTCGTTCTTTAAAAAACTCACCTGGCGTCACCCAGACCTCCCGTTAACATCTTCAGATTATGGTATCACATGGAATGAGCTAGCCATTCACTTCTCACTTTTTGCGTGTAGGTGTATGCCTATTTGGCTTAAAGTCAAAGAAAATCAACCAGCTCATCCATTTGACTTCGACTCGCCAGAAGTATCTCTACAGAAGCCTGAATTGCGAAGTTTGTGGCATCAAGCTACAAATCTCCGCAATGTTGTCCAATATCTTGAGAGTACATCCACGATGCATTTATATCCTCGTTACGCTAAGACTGGACTGTCTACAATGGTACGACTCGGTTACCACCGTAGTCTGGTTGGCAGAATCGCATCCAGACCTTGCCTTCCCCAACGGGATTTGGCTATGCAGATTCTAAAAGACTACTCCTCAACACCGGGCCAACCGTATCCGCTAAACGTGCGTCTTCCTTTTGTACCCAACTTAGATAGTTCAGCTATAGAGGATGCCATGCCATCCGAGCTGCCGTTCATGAAAAGGCACAACCTCTATCAGCGCGTTAAAAAAATGCTTACGACTTAAGAAAAGTCTTGACTCGCTATGCCTCGATCCATGAATTAGGAATTTGATCGCCCTATTGCCGTTGCTTTTTCGACTTAATTCGCGTCTTGTTTAACCAGGGGATACTCCGGTTGAACTCGCGACGCGGTATGTGCATGTGTTGATACAAGGGTTGGTGTTTAGAAACTCCTCCGGTACCCCCCAATGGGAAAGGACTGTGAGGTGCGTTGGGATTGGAGCGCAAGTTGTGAAGAATGGACATTCAACGTATTAATTTCTTTGTGGAACTTCACCCAATGAATCCCAATAGCAAGTCTGAGGTTCCTTGAAAGATTCAGATAAAATGCATCGAACTGTTCAAATTCACTACTCAACTGGTCGAAGACACCCTGGGACAAACCCGAACAAAATAACATGTGTTGCTCATGTCCAAGATAACAGCAAACACAATGCGACAACACAGCCACGTTCAAAGCCAGCTCTTGGAAACAACTCTCACGTACCACTATCTCAGGAACCAGCGGCGTGCCAAAACATCTTGTTTGGTTGTCACAACCATTCCCACACCTACAAAACATATTCAACAACATTGGAACAGGATGCTCCACTTTTTGCTGGCTCTATGCACACATGTGATGTGGGTGAGGAATTTCATTCCAGACATTCAATTCTATGCTCCAACTTGTGAATGCATAGTCCAGTGGTATCCTGTTTGTGGGAATGGCCCGCATGACTGAATGGCTTTGTCTCTGTGTTCTTCGTTGCCCAAAACAGTCGGATCCCCACTCTAGCGAATGGCCCGGTTTTCCAATCTCTCCATACATACACCAAGCTGCAAGTACGTGTCAACTTGGTAGGCACCAGCAGGCGGCCTGGACTGCAGTGTGCTTTGAAACCCAAAATCAAAAAAGCAACAGCTCGGCTCGGATTCTACATTTTCGGGGCCTGATCCTCATGTCATGTTTGAGTGGAGGCCCCCTACATTGTAGACCAATGGCAGCGCAAAAACATACAAAAACAATTACCTCAAGGCAAACAATGGTGTGTGTTCCCAAATCAAGGCCCAAATGGGTTGAGGAACGGAAAAGACACACCGTGCTCATTCTTTGCAAAGTGGTGGTGTAGATATAGGTTTTGAAGTGTGGACGCCTGCCGAATATATTCAGCCATCGCTGGGTGCCATTTGCTTTTACCCCTCACGCAAGTTGTCAGCGACTGCACTGTCAGCAATGAGACGGTAGGTATGTCAAGCTCGCGGGCATCTGCGCTTGGGGGAGTTCAGCCAACTCTCAAAAGCGCGTCCAAGGCCCAACAACTGTAGGTGACGAAACAAACATCTTGCGAGTGGAAGCTGTCTGCGAGGCTCGCGCATGGGCGTTGAAGCTGTCAGTACACAAGAGGCGCGGCCGGGGCCAAGCTTCGGCGATCCAGGGAATGAGTGTAATTATCCAAGATACATAATGTTACATGAGCGCAAGCCCCAAAAGACCAGTGCTGTAGAGTGCATCCTAGCAAGCGGCTTAGGTGCATCCAAAGGCCAAAGCAAAAAAAAACACATATACTACGGTCAAGGCGCAAAGCTCCCCGCAATTGGAGGTGGACGTCTACACCTTCAGCGCCAGGCTAGCAGTTTTGAGCTAAGAGTTCCGCTCAAGGAACGAAGCTATCCAAGATGCACAACAACCGAACACGCAAGAACCAGAGCAAAAGCGTGCCTTAAGCACACAAGCATCCGAAGATCAACGCTAATATGTCGCAGCCAAGGCGGACAAGTGCCGGGCTACTTGAACATACACCTCAGTAGGTGTAGTCTTAATCGGTCGTCAGGCAGAATTTATTCTAACCAGCCTCGAGGCCCTCCGCCCGCAGGTGGATATGGACGTATATAATGAACGTGGTCGCGCCTTCCCCTGCCACTGTCCTGCGCCTGTTTGAACCTCCACGCCCGCCCTTATCTCGCAACCTGCGCTCAGCTCAGCGTCAAGGGGCCCCTGTGGGCACCGTATGTGGCATGTCTTCAAACATTGTCTTGACACAGCTCGTTGAGAATGTTGACCGCATCCTGCCCATGCTTGACTCTCGTGACTTAATAGCTGAAAATGAATTCTGGATAATTATGGAACTCTTTCTGGTCATAGTTTAGAGATGCTTTGCGTCTCAAATGAAACTTGACCACACTCTCGTGACACCCCATGATAACCCATGATCCTTGTTGCAACATGTCCCCAAATGCATGGAGGACTGTGCACTGTGGATGGCTGACAATTAGGCTGATTACCCCTCACTTTTTGGGTTCCTACACCCTTATGGGCAACTTTTCTTGATTCGGCCTGCGGCGGTGCTCACACGGCCGGCGCAGCTTCCATGCAACTGACATGGCTTGGGGTGTTGGCCCAACAGTGTCCTGTTTGAAGCCTTCTGATGTCCTTGGCACGCTAGGAACGTGGGCATCTACACCAAGTGGCACAGTATATACCACCCAGGCGCCAAGAAGTGAACAAGCGGGTACTTAAACGTATCAAGCAAGCGCCTAGGCACATGTTTCGCCCAACGCTCAAACAGCGGTGCTTGAGCGCATCCTGCGTGGACGCAAAAGTGCCAGTGCCAAAGCGCATCTGAGGCACGAAGAAACTAGCAAGTGCTAGATCACATCCTAGCAGGCGCCAGCCGCATCCAAGGCTCAAAAATGTGACGAAGCACAGTGAAGGAGCCACTGATAGAGCGGAGCGAAGGTGCAAAAACACGGGCGCTGGAGCGCAAGCACCGGAGTGCACCCAAAGGTCCCCAACTGCAAATAAACATCTGCATATGGGTGACATGGACAGAGCTTAGCAGGCGCGCCATGGCTTTGAAAACAACTGTTGGGCACGTTGTCAAGAAGGACCAATTGTCCGTGTGGCCAAGCGGTTGGATCCTGGGCTCAATGACTCAACAGTTTGAAACAAGCCTGAGAAGGTGGGGACGAAAGCCAGCAGCCGCCAGACGAGTGTCTCTTTTTCTGGCGGGCGTCGCGGCACAAGACACATGGTCGGCAGCTTGCGAGTCAGCGGTGTTGCGGATGCGGGGGGGCGTATGTAATGGTAATGGAGGGAGCAGAGAAGCAAGCCGGGCGGTTTTGGGATAAGTTTGGTATGAAAGAAGTAGTGAAAGAGAAGTGCGATCGTTGTATGTTGGTGTAGGTCATCATCACAAGGCAATGGCATGTGTTTGTCACACGCAGGAAGGTATGCATCTTATAGATGTTGGAAGGCGACATCAGCGTCAGCCAAGGGGAAATACCATCTGAGTTCGAGTGGTGGGATACCATGGGATACCACGTGCGCGCGCGCCCTCTTCATAGTCAGCGTCGCCGCGCGCGCGCGGCGCCAGTATGGAGTGGGGTTGAAAAGAAGCAAGTATATATGTGTTTGTTACATTTGGAATGTTTGAAGTTTGCAACGCATACTGCGGCACTTCGAAAAATGCGGCATTCGTTGATTTGGAAGAGTGAACGGGCACGTCTTAGCCGGGACACGGACGTTTGATCCCGCGGCGCAGAAGGGGAGGTCTTGGGCTAGCAAAGGAGTGAGGATTTGTGTGCCTATCGATGCACATGCCTGGACTTGAGTGAGTCATGTCCTGGCTCGATCCAAAGCACAGGCTTTTTCCTTTAAAGGGACCTTTATTAAACGATCCAAACACATTCTTTATTCTTCTCTTTCTTAGCAGCTCTGTGCTTTTCTCACTCAGAGGCCTTGACTTTGGCGCCTGCGTGTGTAGATCTTTGGGCCTTCGGCCAGGGCCGCCAGCAAAAATATCTCTCCCGCTCTCTATCTCTATCTCTCTATCTATCTATATATGTATCTATCTGTCTGTCTATCTATCTATCTGCACCGGCAAGCCAGAAAAAAAAGTTCGGTGTGTGTGGACGCACAAGAAGCATCCACTCGACTGGACATGGTGCAAGGGGGCAGGAACCCTATGCGGATATGTAGTCAGCCTCGCAGGCATCCCCACCAAAACTCAATCCAAATTCACGGACTTGAACTCATGTCACTTTCGGTTCCCTATGGACTTCGCGAGTTACGGGTTGCCTTGGCGGCGGTCTGCTCTGTACGTGGGTCCCTGTCTCCACTCGATTGCTCACCCTCGCTTTGGAGCCCTCTCCCCCACCAATCTCCGGGCTCGCCCTCTCAAATTGTGCCTTTTCGCGACCTCCCCCCACACCCCCTTAACTCACTTCGTTCGCTCTAAAAGCTCAAGCCTAGCCTATCGGCTGGCTTTCGTAAACGCTTCTCATCTATCTCCTTCCAGCAAACCAGCGGCAGCCGGAGCTCCATCACATGCAACACCGATATGGAGGGTTCGCTTCATGGGCTCATGGACTCTACCAGAATTTTGTCATTTGCAGCAACACCAATGTATTAATTTGTCAAAGGAAGTTTAGTGTGAAACTTCCGTGTTACGGACATTCAACAGCTGTTCAACCACCACTGATCATACACCACTCATCAAACACCACTCATCATACACCACTCATCTTACACCACTCATCATACACCACTCATCATACACCACTCATCAAACACCACTCATCATACACCACTCATCATACACCACTCATCATACACCACGCATCATACACCACGCATCATACACCACTCATCATACACCACTTTTCATACACCACTCATCATACACCACTCATCATACACCACTCATCATACACCACGCATCATACACCACTCATCATACACCGCTCATCATACACCACTCATCATACACCACTCATCATACACCACTCATCACACCCCACTCATCATACACCAATCAGCATACACCACTCATCATACACCAGTCAGCATACACCACTCATCATACACCACTCATCATACACCACGCAACACCACTCATCATACACCACTCATCATACACCACTCATCATACCATCATACACGACTGATAACACACCACTCATCATACACCAGTCATCATACACCGCTCATACACCAGCTCTGGTTTCAACAGCTCAAGCTCCAGGCAACTGCAGCTCCAGGTGCAGATTTCGTGGCAGGTGCAGCACTTTGTGAACCTCCGTGTGCAGATTTCGTGGCAGGTGCAGCACTTTGTGAACCTCCATGTGCAGATTTCGT